CTATGTGGAAGTCCAGTGACATGGCCATTATGTTAACTGCTGGTCCCTTAAAGAGATTTTTTTGGAGGGCCTTAGGACACATGTGCTCACCCCAGGGGGAGAAAAAGACAGAAACAGATACAGTGAGAGGGAAAGTGAAAAATCACCTCAGGGGAGATGGCCATGCCACAATCCCTTTGCCTCCACTCTCCTCCCATAATCTTGACCACACACGCACATGGCTTGATTTTCAAGGTACCACGTCAGGGACTCAAACCATGGTCAGCCATGTGGGAGTCCAGTGATGTAACCACTATGCTATCTGCTGGCCCCCCAAATCCACTCTTAACCACTGGACTACCTTGAGTCAGAAGAGCTGATGTTCACTGACCTATTAAGTAGGCATCTCCTATGTGCCAGGCCCCGTACAAAGCCTTGAAGGTGACATGGTCTGGCCTTGGCCTTACAGACTCATAGTCCAATGTGGGAGACAGACCTGACTCACAGTGATGATCTAGAGTGCGCAGTGCTGAAAGGGGGAGTCCAGGGGAATGTATGATCCAGCCTGAGGGGGTCAGCCCTGGGCTTCTTAGAGGAAGAGACACCGAGCTGTTAATTTCCCACTTCCATATCAACAGGGGATTCTGTCTCTTTAAGTAAACCACGAATTAAAGAAGAAAGCTGACAAGGACAGGAGCAATGACAGAATCAGAATCAGCTAGGGACTGAAGACAAGGAGAGAGAGCAGGCATCAAGGACGAATGAGGAACTGAGGAACCAGCTGTATCTGGATATGCTCGTTCAGCTTGCCACCATCTACCTTGGCTTCTTCAGCATTTGCCTCAGAGCCTCCACATTTGGTCCAAGAATACGATGAGGGGCCCACACAAGCAGCCCTGTGTCCTCACCAAAGCAGCCCTCAGCCACTGTCAGTCATCTCCCACAAACCAGCAGCTCAGATCTGCATGCAGAGCACGTCCTCGTCTGGGCACAATGGCAGCTTGTACAGGCCTGCACCACAAAGTAACCCCACAGACACTTGTTCTTTAAGCTCTTCCCCACCACCCAGTGAAGGGGCTGATCGTCTCCACTGTCCTGAGGGGAAAATAAAGCTCACGAAGCTCCCCTGCTAACAAGGAGGAAAGTCTGGAGTCCCAACTCCAGTCTGTGCCTTCCTCTACACCAAGACCTGGATCCCAATCTCAGCTCTACCACATGAGATCAGGTTCCCTACTGACTAAAAATGACAACAAGACCTACTATTTGCTGAGCAATAGCTAGTCTGGGCAGACCCACGCTTGGTGGTCTGTGTGCTCACTATGCCAATGACAACCTGTGGGGAGATGTTCTGGTCCTCCAATATCTGGGCAAACCAAGATCCAGTCACCTTTCTTCAACAGTAACAGATCAGCTAACAGAACTGGTCAAAGAATAGCCAAGATCTGAACCCAGAGCCCTGTGACACCCAACTCTGTACCTCTCAGTTTTCCTTGCTGTCCATGACCATGGAATCACTGGCCAGTGGGATGAGTGGAAGTGTCATGGGAAACCTTCTAGAAACCTTTTGAACAACTAGTATGAGCACTTTTGTCCCCTTTCCCTCCCTTCCTCCTCCCTGAGTGGAATGAAGACATGATGGCTGGAGTCTGAGCAGTCCTACTAGACCTTGAGACAATACTGGGAAGAAAAGTTGTGCAGAACTAACCAGAAGCAGCTTAGATCCTCAACAAACTGGCTACCTCAGGACTTTACTGTGAGTAAGAAATAAACTTCTATCTTGTTTAAGTCACTGATGGTTTAGGGTATCTGACTGCAGGCTTTACATGCAGAAGAGAAATGCAGAAGAGGAAATGAGGCTCAGGGAGACAGTCACTTACCCAAGGTCATATATTATGTAAGTGGAACAGCTATAACTTGAACCCAGCGCCCTGTAACTCCAAACTCTAAGGACCTAGCCATTATGGCATTTTTGCCTCCTGGCTGTGTCACCTTCTGCAAGTTGTTTTGCTTTCCTGACCCTCAATTTCTGATGGACAACGCCCAAGTAAAGAACTTAGAGAGGTTAAGGGTCACAGGATTAGAAGGCCAGCTCTGCCTCCCCCCCCTCTTTTTTCAGAGAGATTTTTGCTATGGGCATGTGTGCTTGCTAGAGAAACAGAAAGCGAGAAATTACCCCCCAGGGGGATGACCATGCTGCAATCACTTCTCGTCCATTCTCCTCTTGAGACCTTAGGCATGCATGCACACATTGCCTGGCATGAGTCTGAAGCCACCAGGTCTGGGACTCAAACCATGGTCAACTGTGTGGGAGTCCAGCGATGTAACCCTATGCCATCTGCTGGTCCCCAGCTCTGCCCTCTTGCTACATGACTGTAGGCTATAATTCTCTAACCCTCAGTTTGTTCCTCTGTAAAATGGAAATAAGAGGCCAAACTATGGCCTATTGCTTAAAAGAACCTGATATCACATGGCCAACCATATGGTTTCACACCAGTCCTGAACCTGGTGGCTTAAAAAACACACTGGGGGTAGGCCAGCAAATAGCCTGGTAATTACGGCACTGGACTCCTACCTGGCCAAGAATGGTTCAAGTCCTGGACGTGGACGCTTGCTTTCTCACTTTCTCTCTCTCTCTGGTGAGCATGCATGCCCTATAGCAAATTAAAAAATAGGAAAAGGGGCCAGCAGGTGGCGTGGTGGTTAAAGTGCTGGATCCCCACATGGCTGACTGCTGTCTGAGTCCCAGACCTGGAGGCTTGCTTTCTCACTTTTTTTCTCTCTCTGTTGAAAGTGCATGCCCTATAACAAAATTAAAATAGTAAAGATAAATAACAATAAAATTAAATAATCATTTAAAATAATAATAATAATAATAATACTGAAAAAAGAAAACACTGGGTACATGTGGCATGTGAATACATGCCCCAAATCTCAACAGATTTGAGAAACTGAGAAGGGACTGTGGTGTGACCACACCCCATTGGGGAGTGCTTTCTCCCTCTCCCTCTCTGTCTCTCCCTAGGGAGCATATGTACCCTCTGGCAAAGAAGTAAAAAGAAAAAAGAAATAAGAGCCACTTCCTAGTTTGGAGTGAGAATCTGATGAAGTCGAGATGCATGAAGCACAGTGCTTACCACATAAATGCTTGTTAACATTAGCTTATCACCTTTAACACAGGGATCAATATCCATCTCTCAGGTCTGCTGAAAGGACTAAAAAGAGCATACCAAGATAACAGGCACTGTGTGTGCACACCACAGGCCCTTAATTAATAGCAATTACCCATCCTTGAGTACTGCCTGTGTTCCAGGTCCACTGCTGGGGCCTCAACGATGACCAACACACTCAGGCCCTGCCCGCCAAGTCCCATTACAGTCATTCTGATACCACCAGAGACGGGATCGTCCCCCAGTCCTGTGGTTTCTCCCTGGGTGATAGAGGCAAGTGAGGAACTCCCAGAATACCTCCTCCACACAACAGGGGTAACAGCAGCCTATCTCATAGATGACTATGGTGATCCAAATAATCTGCACATCTAATCTAAAGCCATTTCACATAGCCTAGTACCTGAAAAGCATCCATGAGATGTAACTGCTATTATTCATATTGCTTCTTCCTACTATTCTTTTGAACCATTTTTGATGGGCCCAACTCTGGGATGCGAATTTGACCCAAACATATTTAGTTTTCAATCTCACAGACCTGGGTATGTGTGGGTGGGACGAGGTCATAAAAGGTCCTTTTGGGACCAGCAGATGGTATAATAGATTTGTTGCTCAACACCCAAGTAGTCGACCAGAGTTTGAGCCCTGGATCTGACAGCTTAAAATTCACACTGGACGCATGTGTGTGCATGCCCAAGATCCTGAGAGGAAGATGGAAAAGGGATTGTGGCGTGGCCATTCCCTCTGGGGGTGATTTCTTGCTTTCTCTCTGTCTCTCTGCCTCTGTCTCTCCAGCGAGGGCATGCATCCTACAGCAAAAATCTCTATTAAAAAAAAGTCCTAGGGCCGGCAGGTGGCGTGGTGGTTAAGGGTGCCAGACTCTCACATGGCTGACCGTGGTTCAAGTCCTGGACCTGGAGGCTTCCTTTCTCACTTTCCTTCTTTCTCTTTCTGTGTGTGTGTGTCTGTGTCTGGAAATATTAATAAATAAAGTTAAATAAAATAATTATTAAAAAAAAAAAGTCCTGTTGCCAGTGAGTACTTGGGTCAGGGAAGGAATAGCAAGGAAGCCAAGACTACTTGAGCAAAGTAGTGTAGTCAGGAGAAGGGCAAAACGCAGACCATGCAAGACCTTAGTGGGGAGCCATCGAGCTCTATGTAAGGGCAGGACAGGCTCAGCTTTGTGCTTCAGAAAGACTTCTCTGGCCCCTCTGAGGTAGGTAAACTGGAAGAGATAAGACTGGCCAGACTAGGAGGGAGGCGACACAGTAGAAAACGGGAACATCTAAATACAGGTTACCTAACAAAAGGCCTAAACTAGTAAATACACCCCATTTCAAGCCGGGGGTCCAAAGACATAGGAGCTAAATAGATGAGGTCAAAGCCCTGTGGTGGAGGTCAGTGGAGCTAAGGATGAAGTTGAGAGGCTGGCTGAGGTCAGATCACAGGGTTTTTTAGGCCTGGGGATGGCATTTGGTCTTCTCTTCAAAAGACAGGGAAGTGGGCTAATTTCACTTAACGAATACTGATGACACCCTTACAGTGTGCCAAGCTAAGCCTCAAGAATGACTGAGCTCTTCTGGGCACAGGAAATACACCAATAAACAAGGCGGATGATGTTCCAAAAGTGGCCAACTCTCATGTGCCCTGCTTAGGTGGTTCAAAGACCTCCCTCCTTCCTGTTCACATCAGATCTGCACTAAGGCCACAACAAGCAACACACTGTGCTACAACGAACAGAACCCCTCTCCTGAGGACAGAGGGCTCCTGTCTTGCCATACTTTCAAGCCCAATTTTCACCAGGCTGCCCTATGCTCTGGAGGATTTCCCACCCCAGACGAAAAGCGGGTCACTCACGATCTTCTCATAGTACTCCCGCCTCCGCTCCGCCCTCTTCTTGTAGTCCACCATCATGCCGCGAAGCTTCCGCTCATGCTTCCGAGCCTCGTGCCACATTGTGGTGAGGCCAGGCCTGAGGCCTCAACCTGGGGGATGAGAGGACCAGGCATGTCAGATGAGCTGTGCAAACCACATGGGCAGAATCGGTCACCTCACAAGGGGGCAACAAAGCGGCTCCCACACAAGTCTCTCAGCTTCCGGGAGGGCAAGCGGGGCGGCCGCGGGTATGTCAGTCACTCAAGCGCATCCCTGATAAGTCTGATTCAGAAGCCTGGGCGTTCTGAAAAACCCTCTGGGGAGAGCAGCTGTGAGGAAGGGGTGTCCTGGATCCCTGTGCTGCAGCTAGGGAAGAAAGGTGTCAGAGAAGTAGAGAGCGTTTGAAGGTGCGGAGGCAGATCCTGAGCAGCGAGGGCTGCAGCCCGGAGGGAAGAGCTGGAAAGGCTCCCATGGAGGCCATCCGTGGGTATGGGCTGAGGAAGGCTAAGTTCGGGGAGTGGGGTTCGGACTAAATGGAACAGGCCCGTGAAGTGGGGGGAGGGGCGAGGATAGATGAAGGACGTGGACGGGAGAGGATGACCCTGGAGGAGAGGAAACCTGGGGTGGAGGTGGCTGCAGGAACCCAGAGCGGGGCTGAGGTCTGGAGAAGGGCCCGGAACAGCGGAGGTGGACGCGCCAGGAAACCCAGGTAGCGCCGAGGGAGGCGGAGCCAGCTGACGGGAGGCGTGGGCTGAGCCTGGGGGCAGGGCTTGCGGACAGGGGCGGAGCCCGGGGGCTTGGCCCCGGCGTTAGGCCAGGCCCAGGCCAGAGGGCTTGGCTGTATTTTTGACAAGGGAGCAGGGTCTGCGACGAGAAGCACGGCTGAGGGGGCGAGGGGGCGAGGGGGCGAGGGGGGGCGCTGCTCCGCGCGAGGCCCAGCGGAGGCCCGCGGTGGCATGCGGGGAGCCCGCGACCAGGGCGAAGCCGGCCTGACGCCCTCCCAGAGCGCGGAGGTCGGGCCGCCGCCTGCACTCACCGGCTAGGTCGCCGCCTCCCACCGCCGCGCTCGCGCGCCGCCCGCACCGGAAGCGGAAATGAGAGGCCGCGCTAAAGGGAGGGGTGTTCTCAAGTGCGTTTCCGCCGACGAAAGGGGGCGGGAACCCGGCGTGGAAGGGGCGGGACTTAGGGGCACGGAGACAGGCCGTGCGGAGGGGAACCCGGAAACTGCGGAGTGTTACCTAGCGGAAAAGAGGCGAGACCCCCCCAAGGCGCAAAAACTCATCTTTATTGGCGGAGTGAACAATCTACCCCTCGCCTGTCAGGTCTGGGGCCGGAGGGCGGAGGGGCGGGGGTCTGCGCCCTCCGCCCATATGTACAATCTTTAAGAATCTGGCTGGAGGTGCCCCGCGCGGGGGCTGAGGCAGCTTAATCAGCTGGTGCACGGGAGCCGTGCTTTTCCTCTCCCGACTCAGTTTTCTCATCTGTAAGATGGGCTCATGGAGAAACTCGTGCTTCGAAGCTTCTCGCTGCGTGGAAGACTGTCCAATTTGGAAGGATGAGGAGGGAAGGATGAGGAGGTCGAAAGACGGAGGGCGGCCCAAGGGAGTGGGGGCGCTGGACATCCTGGTGGGTTCCCATGGCTCCTGCATCCTCCCCACCCAGCTTCTCTCCTCCAGTGTCCAGAGGGCTACGTGGCTTCAGGCCCCGGGGACAGGAGGCCACCCCCGAAGGCCGCCTCGCGGTACTGGTTGGGGAACATGTTGCTGCCCACGAGGCTGGCGGTGCCTTCATCTCCGGGGTTCGGGGTCTGGTAAGAGTCCAGCGTCAGCGGCTCGGGTCCAGGCGGCTCCCCAGACATGGCCCCTGCACCCCCATTGCCCACGACAGCGCTAGCAAGTGGTGGCGCTGGGGGCAGGTCTAGCATAGTTAAGAGCATGGGGGTCGTGGGGTCGTAGGCAAATCCGTTGTCCAAGAGGTCAGACGCGCCGGGAGGCTCCAGGCCCAGCAGGGACACGGTGCCAGGGAAGAAGTCCGTATCTGGCAGCAGGGCTGACGGTGGGAGGAACGGGCCTATCAGGGTGAAAAGAGAAGGCGTTAGGGCCAACTTCTGAGCAGGCCTTAATTGCATGGCCCAGCTTCATGCTAAAGGTGTGACCAACCACGGTGGCCTCCTCTAATATCGAGGAGAACCTGAGTAGAGACCTTCACCCTCCTCACTTATTAGAGTAAGTAAACGATGACAGTGAGGCCAAACCGCTGGAAGCCACACTCAGCTGGTGAGCTTGGGAGCCAGGGTTGACACCTTGCTCCTACAGGGCTGTGGAGTTTTCTCTAAGAACTAGGAAGGATAGGAGGCTCCAAAGTTCCCCCAAGATACAAAGCCAACCCATAAAGTGTAATCTCCACACCTGGTGACCCAAGTCGAGAAGTCCTGAGTTTCAAAACTGGAAGGTAAAATGACAGTGTCTTGAGTCTCTCTCTCTCTCTTTTATTTTTTTAGACAAGACAAACCTCATCAGCAAAGGCTGATTACACTTCTTTGAGAAAGGGATACAGGTCTAGCTGTTGAACTCTTATTTCCCAGGCTTCTTTGCAGCCCAACATGGTCATATGACCAAATTCTCACTGGAATGGGGAGGCATGATGGCTGGAGGTACTACAGCCACTTTGGACAATGAGATGGAAACTGCAAATTGAAAATGGCAGGAACTTGGACCTCTGATGACTGAACAGCTGTCAGATCATTCTGGACTGTGTTTATGTAAAAGAAGAAATAATAAAGTTCTATCCTGTTAAAGCTCTTGCTATTTTTGGCTTTGCTATGCATGTAATTATGCATGTAATTAAATGTGATTATAACAAATGCAGGCATTCTTGATTTCTGCCAAACTCCTAACATGTGGGAACAAATTCTTTTCTTTTTTTGGAGAGGTTTTTACATGTGCATTCACCAGAAAGACAGAGAGACAGAAAGCGAGAAATCCCCCCGGGGGTATGGCCACACTGCAATCCCTTCTCCTCCATTCTCCTCTCAGGATCTTGGGCATGCAAGCACACGGCGTGATTTTTAAGCCACTGGATCCAGGGCTCAAACCACGGTCAACTACATGGGAGTCCAGAGACAGCCATTACACCAACTGCAGGTCCCCATCTGGGAACAAACTGCAAGCCAGTGTCATGATCTCACTAACATCTGGAAAGCACTTTAAGATGTAGGGTCTCGGGAACCAGCAGTTAGCGTAATGGCTATGTCACTGGACTCCCACGTAGTCGACCGCGGTTTGTGTCCCGGACCCGGTGGCTTAAAACTCACGCCGGGCGCGTGTGCGTGCGTGCCCAAGATCCCGAGAGGAGAATGGAGGAGAAGGGATTGCGGCGTGACCATCCCCCCTGGGGGGTGATTTCTCGCTTTCTGTCTCTACGTCTCTCTCTGTCTGTCTGGCGAGCGCACGCGCCCTACAGTGAAAATCTCTCAAAAAAAAAAAAAAAAAAGATGTAGGGTCTCCATCTGACAGAAACAAACAGGCTCACAGAGGTCATAGCTGCTAAACTGTAGACTCATAATTCAAATCTAGTCTGATTCCAGAAGTCATACTTGTAACCACTACATTGTAGTGCTATAGAGGCTTGAGGAAGGGGGAATGGGGTGGAGAGAGAAGATGAATGACAAGGGCTTCAGGGATTGGAAGATGAAAGCTGGTCAAGTGAGCTTGGAGTGGCAGTTGCTAAGGGTGGAGCTATTGGGCACTGGTTACCATTAGCAGAGTGAACAACAGGTGGTAGGTACTTCAAGCCTATGGGGTAGGGCTGGCTGGCTGAGTGCCTGGCAGCTGGCTGGAGGCTTGAACAGTGGTATAACTGGGGGCGGGGGGCACTTATAGGAACTAGACTCTGACATGTGAGTTAAGACAAAGGCATGGAGACCAGCAGGTGGTGTGGTGGCTAAGGCCCTGAACACCCACATAGCTGACCATATTTTGAGTCCCAGACATGGTGGCTTGCTTTCTCACTTTCCCTCTGTGTGTGTGTGTGTGTCTCTCTCTCTGGTCAAATTTTAAAAAATAAATGAATAAATAAATAAAATAATTCTTAAAAAAAAAAAAAGACAAAGGCACAGAAGGTGGTTGGAATGGAGAGAGGCTCTGAATTCAAGGTTGGTTAGCTCCAACATACACTCCTTTAGCCACAGCGTACTCCCTGCCACTTGTTTCCCAAACATCACACTCATCTATGCAGATGCACAAGTTCAACTCTGTTCCACTACAGACTCTCTCTCTTTTTTTTGTTTGGTTTTCTTTTTGACCAGATAGGAAGGGGCAGGGTGGGAAGAGAGAGAGAGAAAGCCACCAGGTCTGGGACTTGAACCATAGTTGGCCATGTGGGAGTCCAGCGCCCTTAACCATCATGCCACCTGCTGGTCTGCCCACTACAGACTCTAAAGTGTCACTTTGGGCAAAGGACTTTGCCTCTCTGATTCTATTTCTTCACCTGTAAAAACTTTTTATTAAAAATTTTTTTTTCTTAGGTTTTTGTCATAGGGCATTTATGCTCACAGGAGAAAGACAGACACACACAAAGAGGGAAAGTGAGAAATCACAGGGGGAATGGCCATCCCACAATCCCTTTTCCTCCATTCTCCTTTTGGGATTTTGGGCACACAAGAGCCAGCATGATTTTCAAGCTGTCCAGTATGGGACTCGAACCGTGGTCGGCTATGTGGGAGTCCAGTGCCTTAACCACTATGCCACCTACTGCCTCTGTAAAAACTATTTTAACCATTTTAAGGTATACAGTTCGAACCAGCACCAAAGCCTGGTGGTTAAGGGAGCCAGAGCCCACATGAATGACTGCAGTTTGAGTCACAGGCCCGGCAGCTTGTAAAACACGATGGCACAGAGGCCAACAAGTGGCAAAGCGTACTCCCCACACAGTTGACAGCAGTTCGAGTCCTGGACCTGGTGGGCTGAGTGCATGCTGGATGCATGTGTGTGTGTGCCCAAAAGCTTGAGAGGAAAATAGGGGTAAAGAGGTTGTGGTGTGGCCATCCCCCCCGGGGAGAGTGATTTCTCACTTTCTGTCTCTCCAGGAAGCACATGCACTCTACAGCAAAGCAAACAAACAAATCCTCACAAACAAGAAAACACGCTGGCACATGTGTGTGTGCATGCCCTAAGTCCCACAGGATGGAAAAATGGAGATGGGATTGGAGCATAACCATGCCCCATTGAAGGTTTCCTCTCCCTCCCTCCCTCATAAGAACATGCCCCCTCTGGCTGACAAATAAAAAAAGAATAAACACATACAAAGCACTTATTTGCCTGTCAAATAGTATGTATAAAAAGATGCATGGAGTCAGCAGGTGGTGTAATGGTTAAAATGCTGGACTCCCACATGGTCGACAGCAGTTCGAGTCCTGGACCTGGTGGCTTGAAATGCATGCCAGGTGCATGTGCATACATGCCCAAAATCCTGAGAGGAGAATGGAGAAGGGATTGACGGATGGCCATGCCCCAGGGGACGATTTCTTACTTTCTGTCTTTCCAGTGAGTGCATGTGACCTACAGCAAGAATCTCAAAAAAAAAAAAAAAAAAAAAGAGAGAGAAAAGAAAAGAAAATGACATTCCGTTTTTAAAGGTCAATGAGGGGGACCAGCAGTTAGTGTTAGTGTAATGGCTATGTCGCTGGACTCCCGTGAAGTCAACTGTGGTTGGAGTCCCAGACCTGGTGGCTTAAACTCATGCTGGGCACGTGTGTGTATGCCCAAGATCCAGAGAGGAGAATGGAGGAGAAGGGATTACGGTGTGGCCATCCCCCCTGGGGGGTGATTTTTCGCCTTCTATCTCTCTCTGTCTTTCTGACAAGCGCACGTACCCTATAGCAAAAATCTCTCTCCCACCCAAAAATGAGGTAGGTATGTGGTGAGACTTTTCAGGGGCACTGAGACTTGGAGTAACTTGGTGAAGGTCACCCAGCAAGTAGTAGTAGGACATCAGAGCCTCCATTTATCTACAGAACCTACAGTCTGTCCTCTTACGGGACAGCAGGGTCTTACTGTGACCGATCCTCCTGCTGTAGCCTCCTGAGTTGCTGGGATTACACGCACATGCTACAGGTCCAGCTTCAGGTTGAACCAGGAACTGAACCCAGGCCTCCCACGAGGTCCCAGCCTACAGAGCAGCGTTTCAGCAGCACATGCTACTGTGGCTGGATGCAGAGCCTATATTCTTTGCATTTTATTACTGCTGGCTAGTGGTGAGTCGCTGGCCCTGTGGGAGCTCTTAGAGTATGTAGAGAGGCCTGAAAAGCAAGGCGGCAGCTCCCACTCTGCCCACCCCAGGGGCAGGAGCTTGCATGGAGCCGGACCCACCTGAGCCATGGCTGGGCAGGAAGTGGTCCAGGAAGGCTGGCTTTTTCTTCCGCCGTTTGCTCTCGATGCCATGGGGGTCTGAGGGAAGAAAGAAATGACAGCCCTTTCTCCCTAACCTGCAGTAGGGTAGGGCTGTGGGGTCAGCCATCCCCTCCCAGGGCTGGGTACAGGATGGAACAGAGGGGACACACCAGAACTGCTCAGCTCCCCAAGGACATCAGGCATCCCACGCTTCCGCTTCTTGTCCACTCCGTAGCTGTCTGTTCAGGAGATACCAGGGTCATACAAAAAAGCAATCCATCAGTAACAATAATTAATAACTAATTACAGACACCACATAGGAAATAGTTGAGCCATCCTGGTTCTTGGCCAACCAATGCAAATACACATTTCTATCCTAGTCAGACTAAAAGCCAAATTCACTTCTTGGCATGCTGGTCTGTTCGTTGTTCCCGGAACTGCCCAGCACAACCCTGCCTCAGGACCTCTGCACTGGGTATTCCAGCTGCTTAAAGCACTCTTCCCCAACCCCTACACTTCCCTCTCCCCAGGTGGCCTTCCCTGACCCAAGGCTGAACTGGGCGTCCCCTCTGGGCCATCTGAGTCCCTCAAGCAATGCTATTCACTCCTACCCAATTTGGTCTCACTGTGTGGCTCAGATTGTCCACCCCTAGCCCCCACAAACACAGACGGGGAGCCTCTTGGAGGCAGGGCGGGGCTGGCTGGGCAGTGGCCGTGTCTCTAGCACAGAGCCAGGCCTGAGCAGACAAACTGAGGGGAAGGATGGGTAAATACTCCCCGGGTGCCAAGAGACAGGTATATTATTTCTATTTCGCACAGGAGGACACCGGGGCCTGGAGAGGCCAAGATCACATGGTCACTAAGCAGAAGAGTTGGGATTTGAACCCCAGTCTCTACAACTGCAAGCCCTGTCTTCTGCTTCAGCATCTTCCTCACCCTGGTCATCCCAAACAAGGCCAAAGACCTGTTCTCTGGGGCAGTGGGCCACTCTGAGTTGCCCTGGTTACCATGGTCCCGAGGCAGGTATGTGAAGGGCAGTGGCTCGCTGCAGACGCCGTCAGTGAGCCGCTGCAGGAAGATGTTGACTGTCACAGGCTCGACGATCTCCAGGTCCTCGTAGGGCGGCGTCTTGAACACGATGGCAATCTGGCGGTGCACGTCGGCCTGGGAGAAGTCAGCCCGGCCTTCCCAGGAGGTCGTGCTGAACACCACTGATATGTCCTCTGGTGGGAAAGTGAGGACGGCTTCTGAGCCCACTGGGCCCCCAACTCACTCAGCCTCCCCTCAAACGAGGGGAGCAAATGGCCCAGTGGTTGAGGTGCTGGACTCCCATGTGGTCGACCGCCGTTCAGGTCTCAGATCCTACGGCTTGAAACTCACGCTGGGTGCATGCATGTGCATGCGTGTCCAAAATCCCAAGAGGAGAATGGACGAGAAGGGATTGCAGTGTGGCCATCCCCCTGGGGGGTGATAAAAAAAAAGGAACTAACCATGGTGGCCACAAACTTTCTGTTGAACATCTATGGTGTGCCAGTCACTCGGTGTTTTATATATTTTTATCCATAATATCTCACTTTTTTTTTGAGAGAGAGATATTTTTGCTATAGGATACATGCACTCACTGGAGAGACAGACAATGAGAAACCGTCCTCTGTGGGGGACAACGTGAGCAGACCGCGTTGTGCAAACCACATAGGCACAGTGCGCGGCTCCTGTCAGCGAGGGAATGTCAGGGACCCTTCTAAGTCCCCTAATGCCAGCCTAGAGCCAACTTTATAAGTAGACCTTCTGAAGGACAGTAGTCTCAGATCTGCTATGTTAATTGTACACCCACTTTTAAGACGGGGAAACAGAGACCAGCAGTTAGTGTAATGGCTATGTCGCTGGACTCCCATGTAGTCGACCGCGGTTCGAGTCCCGGACCCGGTAGTTTAAACTCATGCCGGGCATGTGTGCGTGCGTGCCCAAGATCCCAAGAGGAGAACGGAGGAGAAGGGATTACGGCATGGCCATTCCCCCTGGGGGGTGATTTCTCACTTTCTGTCTCTCTGTCTCTGTCTTTCTGGCGAGCACACGCACCTTATAACAAAAAAACTTCTCAAACAAACAAACAAAAAATAGATGGGGAAACAGAGAAAGAGAGAAAATGAGAAAACAAGCTGCCAGATCCAGGACTCAAACTGTGGTCAGCCAAGTAGGAGTCCAGCACCCCAACTTCCGTGCCACTTGCCAACCCCCAGGTCATTTATTTATTCATCAGAGCTTTAGGAGAAGCGCAACTTGTGGCA